GATCTGAGGTTCTTGGAGGGTATTTTCAGAGGTTAAAGAGTTGGTTTTGGGCTGGAGAAGTTGCTGGTTTTGCTGAGCATCAAGGGTAATCTCTTTTTCCTCTTTTAAAGCTTTGTCTTGATCACTCTCTTAGCCAAACTTGCATGCTTATTTAAGCTTTGTTTTCAACTGAAAAAAGTCTTGTTTTGAGGTTCTTTTGATGTTTGTTTAAGGATCTTTTGGTGTTGGGGGTCATCTACCCTCTTGCATGCTCTATTTAGCCTTGTTTTGTGCTATGCCATAAGGCATTCGAGCTAGTCCTTGCTTGGCCTTCCTACCACTGAAATCCAGTGGATTTTTAGTGGTGAGAATGTGGTTTTGAGGGCTTAGATCAAAGAGGGGTGACCCTCTCTCTTGTTGTCTTGTTTACTACCATTTTTGGCCTACCAAAGGAGCACATGTTTATACCATTTGAAGGCCTAGTTCAGGCACTTTTTGGTGACTTCTAAGACCTGCCTAGGCTCTGACCATGGCTGGTTTAGTCCCCTTTTGCTTGCTTCTTGCGTGTGTAGAGTAATCCCTTTCATGGGTTATCAAAGGAGCATATCATTCTTGCATGAATTGGTTTTGTTTCAGTGGATTTTTGGCCATCATTTGTCATGCCATGACTCTATTTTTGGTTGGTTTGGTAGTCCCTCACATGCTTCATATGCTTATAGTGTAAACCATGCTCACTAGCTTACATTGCATGTTGTTTTGGCCATTGATTCTAGCATATTTGGCCATACTTCAAACTGATTTTGTTCATATTTTGGGTTTCCTTAGCTCTGTTTTGAGGCCTCTTGGTCGAATGATGCCTGCCATGCATACTTGTAATGTAATATCCTTGCCTAGCCTTGAGTTTTGGAACCCTTTGCATGCTTAACTTGAGGTGTTTTCGTGTCTTAGCATCATTGAGCATGTTATTTCAGAGCCTATACTTGTGCCACGTTCCCATATTTTCCACTCTTTAAATGCGTTTGAGAGTTGTGCTTGTATACCTCATTTATGGGCCATTGCATGAGCTTCATTTTTCTGCATTTCAAGCCATCATCTTAGTCCATTTTGCCACTGTTTTGGGCCTGCATAGGGACTGTTTGGGGTTGGTTTGTTCATTTGGGCATTGCTTTACATACCTCTAGTGTAATGCACTTCACTAGTTTCGGTATTTAAGCCATTCAACATGCATAACATGAGTTGTTTGCATGATTCGGGACCATTTTGTATGTCATTTCAGAGCTGGAACATATGTTGTTGTTTGCCATATTTCATCCTTTCCATGCTTTCATACAGTTGTATCTTGTGCCCTAGGCTTTGGGCCCTTGCATCTTACATGTTTGCATGTGTTTTGTTGCCTCATTTTCATCATGTGTGGCCACTGATTTGGGTGTGGCTGAGGCCCATTCATTTTGGTTTAAGTCCATTTTGCATCGAGTATGTCATTGTAGTTCATAGCATTGAGTATGTCGTGTTGTCGCATGTTTAATCATTGCATTGCGCATGCCTTGTTCACTTCATTGTGTATGATAGTCTTCACATGTGCATTATGTATGACATATAGTATCATGTGCATTGAGTATGTCATTATTAGTTCGTAGCATTGCGTATGCTAGTTTGTATGTTTTCACATCATCTTTTGCATGTTTGCATGACTAGGTTGCATCGCCTTAGGATTGCATGCTTGAGGTCACATTGTGTTTGGAATAGGAGTTAGTCCAAACACGGAAAACGAGGGACGTTTCATACTCCAAGTGATGAAACATGCCTCGATTCTCGGTCACCGACACTCTTGACTAACACATGATGGAGTTTAGGCATTTATGTGTTTATATGTGCATTCATTTCACATTGAGTCGTGCAATCCGACTACTCGGCCATCATGCGTCGAGATGCGCAATTGGTGGCCCGAGGATCAAGGACTATACTCCCTAGAGCTTATGCAATGATGGGGAGAGTGGTCGTGCATACATGTGTTGAAAATACCGTGCCATGCCTCTCTTTTGCTCCTTGTTGGAGAAAACCAGAAACCAGAGGCAGAAATTGGTCGGCCGACCAACTTTTCTGGCAGGCCGACCACCCCTTTTGGTTTCTCTCACAAAAGGTGGTCGGCAGGTGGTCTCCCATGCCCATAAGCTGGTCGGCAGCCTTCCCACAGATTCCCAGGGTGGAGTTTCAGCCTTCTGGAGCTTTGTGCAAGTTTCTGAGATCAATTGCAAACAAAGGCGAGTTGGGGCATCGCGATGGATTTCCCGACAAGGCGACTCGAGCATGCATGCATCCTTTATCATTCAAAGCAAAGCTGAGGCAGCCCATTTTGCATAGTTTTCATGCTAGTTTAGTTAATTTGTTAATTAGCTAGTGTTGTGTAATAATTAGTTAATTCGATTCTGTATTATTTATTTGGATCCTCCGAGAAAGGGCAATGTTGTAATAAGTGTGCGTGTGTGTGATGCATGTCTTCTAACCCCACGTCTTTCTCCCTTTTATTTACCAGCTTATGATGGTTAGTTTAGGGAATGTTTCAATTAGCATCCTTATGCCTCGCATGTTTGCATCTGTCTTACATGCACCGGGCTCGACGCATCATACTAACTGTATTGTATTTCAATTCCAAGTTGAATACATGTTACCTGTAGCATCTCATATGCCATCTTAGAATAGCCGAGCTTATCTTAGTTGCATTCTTGCATGTGTTGCATTAGGCATCTCAGCATAGTTAGGATTCATGCATGTTTTCTAATTAGCTTATTTCCTTGGCTCGGAGTACTCGGTAAGTGTTTATGCTTTAGCATCCTTGCATGCGTGTGAGTGGCTGCCATGATAGTATGCTTACCATGAGGCTATGTGCTTATGTGATATAACTGCCTGAATGCCTGTGGGTGAAGGTTGGGTTGCTTGAATTGGAATAATTCGTCAAAACCCGTGTTTTAGCCTACTTGCGAGTAGCAAAATTCAATCCATTTTCAAAACAAATGGATATGCGATGCTTTGTTCCAACTTAGGCAATCTAGTCTATACTTGTATGCTGTGCGCATCACATAGTAATTCTAGGTTAATAACTGGGATAAGAGCACACTTGTTTTCAAAAACAAGATATCATGCTTAGTAGTAGCCGATCTTTGATCGGGCGAGCGGGGGTGCTCATGAAATGACCTTCCCCAATCGTACCCAAGTTCCCGAGCTGAGGCAACTTTGGTGATGACGAACACGTGGCCTTAGACACGAGTTAAGGTTTCCTAAATTTTCCCAAAATAAAATATTTAAGTGGTGACTCTGTATCTGGCAAAACAGTCCATGTTTGGCACTTTTTTTCTAAAAATTAGTTTTTCAAAACGATTTGCCAGATTTGGACTCTTTGGTGATTTATCGATCTTGCATTGCACTTTGCAAGATTAGATTCAGAACCATGACATCAAGTCCGAACTGTAGTGAGCCCAATGAACAAAGCGGGATTTTCTCGAGACATTCGGGGACGTCTGCATATAGTGGAGCTAATTATAAGGCAACATGATCAGCAATCATCGAGGAGTAGTTCGACGGTTGAAAATGCAGTTCGATGGTCATCCTTGAGAAGTATAAATAGCAGAGAAGGCCCCAGAAAAAAGCCGCAGACTCAGATCCAGAAAACCAGTTTTACTTTACATTATTTTCCAGTTTTATAGTTCTTGTTCTTTATATTTTTTGTACTTCAAATTCCTGCACTGCATTTCGTTCATAGGAGTAGATTTCAAGTAGATTGTTGTTGTAAACCTCTACGAGGCTGATTCGGATCTTTGTAAGTCTTTCATTTTGCTTAATGAAATACTTCAACTGTTCTTTATTTACCCATTGTTCATTTAATTCTCTTAGCAAAGCCACCAGTAAAAGTCCTCTTCATTGAGGCTGAAAGAACTAAAACACAATCGTTTGATAATTGGTAGGCAATTGAATTTCTGTAAGGACTGATTGATCCTTGCTGGAACGCTCATAATTACAATAATAACCTTCGAAAGCTAAAAAGCCAACATATATTTTTGGCACGTCCAGTGGGACTAATTGAAATGGCTAGACGTAGGAGACAAGGAGAAAATGAACACTTAGAAGAAGGCGTGGAAGGAGAGGTAGAAGTGCCTAATCCAAAGGATAATGTGATAACACATCCTGTGGAAACACCCAGTTTATCAGAACCTATGGTCGAACAAACCAGCACTTCAGAACAAGTACCACATGTTCATAATATTGGACGAGGCCAAGGAATTGGACCATCCACTGTTCCATCTACTCAGCCAATAATTCCATGGGGTGGCCTAGTAGATGTTATGGGACAGCAGTTAATGAATACAATGGAAAGATGGGCAACATCCTTTTTGGATCGAATGAATACCCACCAACCAACAAACACAAGACACATGGAAGAAATTTCAAATGTCCCTCAGCAAAGATTGGCTAGAGTTAAATAGCCTATGCAAATTAATAGACATTCTAATTGTCAAACTAGTAATCAAAACTATGAAACGCCATCACCTCAGTCTTGGTATAAACCTATTTCGAGGCCTATAGCATGTCAAAATGCCTCAGTACTTAACAGTGAAGCCATGCAAATTGGTAGATCTAGCCCAGGACAAGAAAATGGCATAAGAATGATTCCAAATCCCATGTTCGAAGCCATACCTGGCATGAGGGGGTTCACTAATCCCTTATTCGAATTTATACCCAGGGGGTTGGAAGGTTTTCCTACAAATGGAAAAGACACAACACCAGTTCCAACACCTTTCGCAGGTCCTTTCGCAGGACAGGCTCAAAGGGGTTACCCACACCCCCAACAGCAACCGGCACCACAAGGACAACCAGTCCCAAATATACCACCTTATGGACTAAGAGGACCCCAGGCACAAGGTTGTCCACCAAACCCTGTGTTTGTCCCTCCAGTAGTGCTTTAGCAGGCACAAAATATGGTCCCTAGGGACCAAATTGCTGATATTGTTAGAGAGATGTGTGGACCGATGGCTCGGGGTGTCCTGACTCCTGTGTACAGGAAACCGTACCCACAATGGGTAGATAGGGTACATGAGTACCCAAGAGGTTTCAGGATACCAGATTTTGCCTTCTTTTATGGAAATGGAAACCAGTCAACAGTGGAGCATATTGCTAGGTTTGTTGCTCAATGCGATGAATTTACTAATAATGACTATATGAAGTTAAGATTATTCCTAAATTCTCTAACTGGGGGAGCATTTGTATGGTATATTAACCTTACACCTGGCTCTATCCAAACTTGGCAACAAATGGAAGAGGCATTTCATGCCCAATTCTTCCAATCGGAGCCAGAAGTTTCCATGGCAAACTTGGCAAGATTGAGTCAAAGGCCTGATGAGAAGGCTACTCAGTTTATTACCAGATTTAAAAGAGCACGAAACAAATGTAGGGTCATCCTACCAAAGCCAGAATTCGTGAGATTGGCTCAAAATAGCTTAGAGTTTAGGCTTCGAAAGAAGTTTGACTCAACTGAGTTCAGAGACTTGGTAGAACTAACTTATAAGGTGTCTAGGTATGAAGCATTACTAGAGAAGCACTGCTGGAAATCGGGCTTTTAGTGGCGTTTTAAAAACGCCGCTATATCTATCAAAAACGCCGCTAATTCATTTTGTGGCGTTCAGTACCAAACGTCGAAGCTGCGGCCGTTGCTGTATCTTTGCGACGTTTAAAAAACGTCATGATATTAGTATAGGAGGCGTTTTAAAAAACGCCGCCAAATGTCCCACTATTCACTCGCTGACGTCACCAACGATATTTAGCGACGTTTTGAAACGCCGTCGTATCTGTTTAAATAATATGACCGTTACTGTTGAGGGTTTAGGAGGCGTTTTTGGAAACACCGTTATATCTTCTTTGTTTGTTTGTTTGTTTTTTTTTTTTTTTGAGATTGTGCTAGTTTTATTTGATTAAATTAAAAAGAATACCTGTAAGAAAATATTGAATTTGGTTTCGCATTCAATTAATAAAAAAATAACTATAATAAAAATAACATACAAAATATTAACTCCCATTCAAATACCTATAATAAAACTAACAAATAAAATAATAACTCCCATTCAAATAACAAATGAAGCATTAATTCAGTTTCATATGTGCAATAGCAACAGCGAATCGATAGAGCGACCATAGCTCATTCGTTGTAAGCTACCTTATTACTAACCTATTAACATACAAATAAAATAAAATACATAAAAAAAAGTTCGTGATACCAATACAAGATTTTGATACAACTGGCATACGGAAGCCAATGCAATGCTCTACCTCTTTAGCCTGTTGTTTCTCCCAGTCCTCCTTGACTTTCCGGTTGATTACTTCAACCTGATGTCGAATATCAGAAGTAACAAGAGTATTCTGTCTTCTCTTTAAAAAGTCAAGCCTCTACCATTTGTCAAGTTATACTTAGTTTTTTTTTTAAAAAACTGTGATGTTTTTCTCAATTCTCACTATTCAATTCAGCCATTTGATATTCTACTCAAACCATTTTTTTGGGCAAGAAATTTTATTACCAAAATAAAGATAAAGTACAATGAGCTTAAGGCATGGACCTATAACTTTACTACCAAATTAAGACCGGTTTGTGGTCTACTCTACGCAAACCTTGTAATACTAGCCCACATTCAAACCAATCACGTAAAGTAACAATAACAAGACTACAACTTGTGATCCAAAATAACAATAACTCGAGTTCATGAACAAATCAGTTCCTAACCTCAGTTTCAAACTGATCTCAACAATGTCAATGAAGCTGAGCAAGGAGTTCCTGAACATGTCAACCCTGACAAAGCATATCAAACTGGAGCTGGAAGCTTACCTGCCATTGATGCTGAGCAAGGAAAAGAAGTCATAGAGAACCTTAATGACAAATCAGCAAATGTGGGTTTGACATGTAAGCCTGTGCATCTGTCGACTAATTGTCACTCCACTGGGAAAGATGATAGTGTTAATTTGGAGCACCGACAAGAATCTTGCCCCAAGGTTTGTGTTTTTAGCATGTTATAGTTTGATAGCACCTCTCTCTTTCTATACTAGTGGGTCAAAAACTACTGTCTTCCTGTATATATTTTAAGAGCAATAATGCAGTGAACCAGAAGATATGTCTAAAGATGAGCTTTATGGCTTTGTTTTATCTTACAGCACATGATTGTGTCATGCATACAATTTTTTTTATATATATTTTTCATGGATGGAAAAATCAGATCTTGCCCCATTGTACTTTTTACGTGTCTTACTTGATGCCCTGACTCTAGGTGGGGACCAAATTGGAAAGCAAACTTGCAAAGCCCAGATTGAAGTCTTCCACTCAGGTTCAGAGAAATGTTTCTAGTGAGCCATCTAAATGCTCTGCAAAGAAACATATTAGATCAAAAAGCGAAGACTCACAGAGCACAAAAACAGAAAAACACTCATCGCACACAGCCATTCTAACCACACGTTGGGTATGCAGAACTTCAAAACCAGAGGCAAGTATTTGTTTATGATCTATAAGTACCTCTGAATATACCGAAGTAATGGTTCCAATAGGATGTTGCCCTGGCCCAAGTTAATGTTCTTAAAATGACAATTATGCATTTTGTTTTTTTGTTTTTGTTTCATTGATATTTTTAAGTAGCATTCCCTTATTTTGGAATATTGTTCATTTGTTCTTCCCTCATGTTATTGGCTGGTATTCTTAACAGGATCCTAAGAGTTCAAAGTCAAAAGTTATTCATGATAACAGAAGGTATTTATTCCTTTCGAATTTCTGCACAAGGAAAATCTATATCTGCAATGGGTATGCTGCTAAAAAATACTTCTCATTAGCAGTGAAAAGGAATTGAAGACAAAAAAGGTTGTTCATGAACCTAAGCCTTCTGCCTCAGAGAAGCTTGTTCCTAAAGCACGTCAGAATGCAAACAGGTTTATGAAACATCATATGCAATGCTTCATTACTTGGATGTTTTGACCTTCTGAGGTTTGACATAGAGTTACTGTTGTGCAGGCCCAAGCAGGTTGAGAATTCAACTAAGTCAGGCATGAAACAAAGCTTGGCTGTGTTCAATTTCAAAAGTGAGGAACGGGCAGAAAGGAGGAAAGAGGCAAGAACTCATGCTGTTTTATTAATTTTTATTTAAAAAAAAAAAAAGAAAAGGAAAAGAATCATGGCTGTGACTTGTTCATTTGTCTGTTTTCCTCTTTCATCTTAGTTTTACATGAAGTTGGGGGAGAAAAAGCATGCAAAGAAGGCCGGGACAAATCAAATTCAAGCAAATAAACTGGTACATAAATTCAATGCAATAGTTATCTAAAGTGTACGGTTATGTCACAGAACCTACAGTGCTAAAGGAGAAAGGATAGATAACAAAAGGATGCAAACTTGCAGGGAATTAGTTTGTCAATGAAAAAATGCCAATATGAGTAATTGCATGAACATTATGACCAATTTACCTGAATTTGCACCTTCTTAACTGCCTCTGTAAGCAACTGACACCCCACAATATCCTGCACAATATCCTGAACATTATGACCAATAACGCACAGTTGTTTTTCCTCACACTATCATTCTGCTATTCTTCATTCAAGGAAAGGAAAAGGATAAGACCAACCTCTTCAGAGTCTCCGTGGGAAGCAACGATGTCCTGAAAACTGACTGGGGGTGCCACGGATATTCCAACCTTGTGAAAGGAGATCTTTCTTCTCTCTTCTATTTCTTTCTCAACCTTGCAAAATAATGTTTTCCGTAAGAGAAAAGATTATGACATCACAAAAGACTAACCTATCAGGAGTAAGCATGAACCTAGGGTAGAGGGGGCATACCCTGACAAAATAGAGGAAGAAGCTTGATTTGAATACTCAACAAGAAGCCAGATTAGAGCAGTTTTTGGTAACCATCCAGCGATTTTTAGTGTTTTGGGTATAGCTTAGATACTTTCTCACAGAGGTGCCCCACAGATGATGAGTTCTTATATATATTTATTTTCCTCAATCCTGCAATTTTGAGTTATGCATCATGCAACAAAAAGAATGATTTATGAGTTAAGCATCATGCTAGTAAAATGTTCTTCAGGGAGAAAAATGGCAAGACGGGAGCTAGTGTTCCAACAAAGTACTCACAGTTCTAAAGAATTTACCATGCAAAACACAACTCTATGTCATGACACAAGACCATGTCACAAATGATGCTCTGAAAACAATTAGATGTAGGACCAAATTGAAGAACTAACATATTACAAGGAATTATCAATGTTAAACCTTACAGTTTTTCCTTAATGATTTTTATGTTAAAACCTTAATTAATAATCATATCCTCGATCATCATGTAGAAAAAATCCTCTTCTTTATATTTCAATAACAAATAAAGAGTCCCCAGTTCTTTTAAGATATCATTGATGCCAAACTAAAACAGGAAAGAAGCTATGTTAGAACGAAGGGACAGACCTGGAGAGTCAGAGCATTGGTGTGTTTGGTGACCAAGAAATTGGTCAAGTTCACACAATATGCCAAGGCAGAATTGAAGAGTAAATAAAAGATTATTTTGATATCATCTCTGGCAAGAGCTATTATGATCCCAACCATGTTTTCCTCCATCAACAATGTAGCAGGAATTAAGAACTAAACAGCTATTGGTGCCATGTATAACAGAAGGTTCATAGAATTTAGTTTTTCCCTGGAAAAGAAACTAAGATAATAGTGTGGGTTTTCAATAATGGAAGCAGATAAATAATCT